GAGATAGAAAGCGAGAAATCACCCCCCAGGGGGGATGGTCACGCCGCAATCCCTTCTCCTCCATTCTCCTCTCGGGATCTTGGGCACGCACGCACACGCGCCCGGCGTGAGTTTTAAGCCACCGGGTCCGGGACACGAACCGCGGTCGACTACGTGGGAGTCCAGCGACATAGCCATTACGCTAACTGCTGGTTCCTTCCGTTTGAGTCTTGTAAAGTGTGTAATTCCTCTTTTAGATCTTGCAAGAATTTCCTCATCTCCTGGAACTCATCAACTTCTTTCTCCTTTCTCTTTAGCAGTTCATTATCTCTCTTCTCTTCCATCTCTGTTAGCTTCAACATTATGAATGCTCTAAATTCCTTATCAGACATTTCCATGATTTTCACCAAACTGCTTGTGGATGAAGAAGAGTTACTCTTTTCCCTTGGAGGAGAGGTATTTTCTCATTTTCCCATATTTCTCGTGATCCGGCGGTGATTTCTTGTCATCTGATGGATGGTGTGTTTCTTTCAAATTCTTGAAGTTCAGCCACTAGCTTGTTTGCTGAGCAGAGGTGAACTAGAATCTCTTTGCTGTTCTGTTGTGATCGCTGGTGCAGCAGATTCAGTAGATATTGGGGGAATATCTTAACACTATTAGTATTTGGATGTTTAGGTACGGTGATCTTAGATTCATCTAAAAACACAATGAATGGATATTGGAGGGTGGAGAGACAAGAAAAAGGAAAAAAAAAGCCTGATCCTTTCTTCTCGAAGAGAGATCTGGGATTTCAAGGGCTGTCTACCCAACCCTGTAATTTCAGATAAGTAAAGGAAAAAAAAAAATGCTTAGTGAGACAGGAGGAAGATTGCTTTCAAATGGATATTTCCCTAGAATTAAGACAGCCTGCATCAGGGGTCATCAGGTAGCATAGTGGTTAAGTCACTAAACTCGTATATAGCCTCTTGAGGTTCAAGTCATGGACCTGGCAGCTTAAAATCACCCTGAGCATGTGTGTGTGCATGTCCAAAATCCTACAAGAATCAAAGAGAAGGGATTGCAGTGTGACCATCCTCCTGGGGGGTGATTTCTCACTTTTCTGCTCACTGTCTCTCTCTGGGGAGCACAGCACCCTATGACAAAAACAAACTAACCAAAAAAAGGCTGTCTTGGCCAAATAGGATTTTTTTTCCCTTTAGAAAGATTTTTGCTATAGGGTATGTGTGCTCACCAGAGAGAGAGAGACAGACAGAAAGTGAGAAATCAACCCCCTACCCCCAAGAGGGATGGCCACACCACAGTCCCTTCTTCCCTATTCTCCTCTCAGGATCTTGGGTATGCACATGCATGCACCTGGCATAAGTTTTAAGCCACCAGGTTCAGTACTCAAACCTCGGTCAACTACATGTTAGTCCAGCAACATAACCATTATGCCATCTGCTGATCCCACCAGATAGTGTTATTCAAAGAACTTCTGGGGCCAACCTTGTAGCTTTGTGGTTAAGGGAACTGGATCCTATGTGACTGACCACAATTGGAATCCTGTCTCCAGCAACTTAAAAAACATGTCGGGTGCATGTGCATTCATGCCCCCAAATCTCAACAGCATGGAGAAATGAAAGTGAACTTTCATTTCATCAGGGGCACGTTCTTCCTCTCCCTCTATCTCTCTGTCTCTACATGGTGAGTGCATGTGCCCTCTGGCACTTAAAAAAAAAAAATTAAAGAACTGGGTGTGGAAAACAATAAATGGGAAGTCAAATAAAAATCAAGTGATAGAACTCTATAAACACAACTTAAGTCCCAAAATTTACTAGAGGGAAAATAAAAAGAATTATAGGCCCAATCCATGGCATGATGGTTAAGGCATCTGGATCCCACGTGGTCAGCTTCACAGTTAGAATCCCAGTCCTATGGCTTGAGAAACATGCTGGGTGCTCAAAATCCCAGAAGGAAAAGGGAGGAGAAGGGATTGTGTTGTGGCCTTTCCCCCTGGGGGGCGCTTGCTTACATTTTATCTCTGTCTGTCTTTTTGTCTCTCTCTGTCTCTTTCCAGTGAGTACAAATGTCTTCTGGCAAAAATATTTTAAATTTATAATGATAAGGGGCTACCAGGTGGCATGGAGGTTAGGAACTAGATTCCCACATAACGACCACAGTTCGAGTCCCAGTCCTGTCAGCTTGCCCTCTCACTCTCTCTCTCTCTCTCTCTCTCTCTCTCTCTCTCTCTCTCTCTCTCGGGTGGGCACATGTGCCCTGTAGCAAATTTTAAAATAATAATAATGTTAAATAAAATTAAATTTTAAAAATGTATAATGATAAAATGAGCTCTACTGGCTACAGTTTATTCACCCAAACAACAAATATTTATTTAAAACCAACAATATGCTAGTCATGGGAGATACAAAAAATGAGTCAGACATGGTCCCTGATCTGATGTGTTTACAAGAGAGAGGGTTAGTCCATGAATTTGTTGAATGAACCATTAAAGTTAGACTGTGATACAGTCCTGATTGGAGAAGTATAGCAGCATAAAAGGAAGTGTCCTTGTGGTCTTGTGAGGGGAGGATGGAGGTCCACAAGAAGGCTGGATGATGAGTAGGAGCAAGAAGGCAAAGAGCTCTGCGAGGAGTGTTCTAGGCGGGAAAAGTGGAATGCACAAAGGCCTAGAGAAAAGGGAGAGCATGATGCACCAGAAAAACTAAAAGAAGTCAAGCATGACTGACTCACCCTTCCCTACCCCCAAATTTGCAACCAATTGAGAAATTGACCCAGGAGAAAGGGGAGACAGAAGAAATCAATGAATCACCTGTTTTGCTAAGAAAGCTGGTTTGGAAAACACAAAGAATTGTTGAGATCAGATCTGCATTTTTAATTATAAAACTGAAAGAAATGCGGCCAGCCGCGCGCGCGGCGGAAGAAGCCGC